AATGTCACTTACATTGTATTTCCACAGTTTTACTGAGTGGTATACTACTTTCATTGACATTCAAAACTTCACAAGTGTAATTTCCATGATCTTCATATTTTATTCCATTGGTTCTTACAAACAGCGTGCTTGTGACTTCTATAGAAACGTTTGATTTGTTATCAAGTCGTGATGGCGTTGATATCTGGTAAATAAAATTATTGGAAGCTCCTGTTGAATTATTGGAAACTTCTGTTGAATTATTGGAAGCTTCCGTCGAATTATTGGAAACTTCTGTTGAATTATTGGAAGCTTCTGTTGAATTAATGGAAGCGTCTATTATATTTTCTCTTGACTGGATTTCTTTTCCATCTTTCTTCCAAATAACACGCGGTGTTGGATAACTTCTTCCTGTGCATGGGATTGTGATATTTTTCTCATTTACTTCGACTATTTTCAGATTTTGTTCCTTCAGAAAAAGATAAGGTCCATCTAGAAAACACAAAAAATAAACATCTTAACTGTCGGGCTTGGATGTAGAATGGAACTAGCTGAAAAACAAGAACAAACGTGCACGTCTGAAGCGATATACTTCCACACGAAGAGCCACTAGAAATGTCGAAGTTTGCGCTTGTTTCTCAGGTAACTGCATATCCTACATCAATCGTAATCTTTGCTATACCCAACATTCAAGAAGCGCCTTAACTGCAATTAATATCTCGACTTTGCATGCAAGACAATTAATAACTTGCTAAGAAATACTCGGGCGTATCGAAGCACAGCGATCGCAGTGCCTTTTAAAGGTACCTTCATTGGAGACAAAACAGGAAAAAAGGCAGAATGAAAAATATGAGCTGTCAAGGTTTGGCGAACGCGCGAGTCTGAAGAGAGATTTTGCAAAACTTTAATTTATTAACTTCACCTATATAAATTGTGTAAACGTTCTCTGGTTAAAAAAGATTTATTTATTAACAAGCTTTCGACTGCCAGTCTGCAGTCTTCGAAGGGTAGATTTATAATGTGCTAGTGATATAAGATATCTTATATCACTAGCACATTATAAATCTACCCGTCGAAGACTGCAGACTGGCAGTCGAAAGCTTGTTAATAAATAAATCTTTTTTAACCAGAGAACGTTTACACAATTAATTATGAATCCTGGTTTCGCTTCCAACATTTTTAAATTCACCTATATAACCAATAACTTCAACTCTTTGTAGCTATAATCGTACAGCTGTAACAGCTATTGAATTGAATTGAATTGAACCAGTGGCGTAGCCAGACCTTAATTTTTTCTGGGGGGGGGGCGAACCTCACGCCGAAGGTATGAGACCGTCTAGGAGGGTCCGCGGGCATGCACCCCCGGGAAAATTTTGGAATCTAGGGTCCCTGAATTGCGATTTCAAGCATTTTGGGAGTGAAATTCCGAAGAGTTCCGAAGATTATAAAGTACATCGAAGACATGAATTTTTCCAGACATTTCTACTCGGAATTAAATAAACTGGAAAAGTCACCTTGAAAAATAGGAGGAGGGGTCAGTGTCACCTTATTTCCTCTCTGTGATGCTGGGGGGGGGGGAATCCCAATGTGATTTTGATCAGAAATGTTGCATTTAAATCGTTTTAGGTTCTATGAGACAACATTTCCACGTCCTCAAAATTGCGTTGCTTTTTCATACGATACAGAATAAATCTGAGAAGAAATATTCATGCTATGATGATGCATACATGTATTTAACAGTTAAAAATCTAAACTAAATCTATTCTTCTTGGAACCAGCATTTTATCGGATTGTTTGCATGAAACCTATCGCTATTATGAAATACTCGGTGAAGAACAATATGTATTACACACAAGATGGCTGTGGAGGAGGCTATGGAAGGGCATAATCTCATTATCAAGTAAATCAACTGCAATTCTGACAGCAATCATGAGCAATTCTGCTTCGCACTTCGGGGCAGAAATGGCTTTACTGGGGGGGGGGGGAATTCTTTCCCTGGAGGGGCAATTGCCCCCCCCCCCAGATATATAGTTAAAAAAGGCACTGAGCGATCGAACCTGATAGCATTCTAACCGGTTTTATTGCGTCGCATTTCCCACGTGAAACGATAGATACATGCTTTCAAAAGGCAGGAAAAACAATTCAAGCCCATGCTGCCTGAGCTCAAGAATAATTCTTCAATATTTTCTCCTTAAATTTGTACGATAAAAATATATTTTACTCACACAATGTCAAGAACGTCACTTCTTCCGTGAAATTGCTAATGCCGATGGCACTTCCTGCTGCAATGCTGACGGTATAGAATGTATATTCTGTCAGGTTTCGCAAATTGTAAGTCAGATACTTCTCTTCTAGATCAGAAGTTACATTGATTTTCATCGTGTAGTTTTCGTATGACACACGAATGACATATCTTTCCAGTTGACTTTCTAAGTAATCACCCGCTGCTTTCCAGGTTATTACAGCTAATCGTGATTTGATGTTGCTGATTGAAGGCATTCCAGGGACATCAGGCAAAACTAAAATGTATTAACCCAAACTTTAAGACAAATATAAGAGAAACGACATTATATTCTACTAAAATTTCTTGTCCAATCATTGAAAATGTCCTTCCCTTTGAAGCAGCAGAAAGAGAGAAATGTTTTTATATTAAATGCTCCTGATCGAGCAAGTCGAACATCAAGTGGAACGAAAATGGCAAAATATGATTCCAAAGGAATTACACGTTCACTGGATACTCTACTTGCTAGATTTATAGGCCGATTTATAGTTTGTCGCATTGTATTTAACTATAAGTCAATGCGGGAGAGCGAGGTCAATAAGAGCAAAGATCATACTACTGACTAATTCTCGTTTTAAAATGCACTACATATCGGCGGGTGATCAGAGACGTAGCCAGGGCGGTTGGCCCGGCCCCCCTGGTAAACGTTTGCACCACCTAGGTTTTTGCTGCCTCCTGACCAAAAATCCTGGCTACGCCTCTGCGGGTAATAATTGTTGCATGTGCGTTCGACTATGAAATTATAACGCTTAATAATATAAGAAGGGATTTCTACAGTAGATGGGAATTGTGAGTGCAAATCTATTTGTCAATTGAATTATATTTTACGCGCGCTCGTACTGTACCATTTATGTAACAATGCATTTTGGAAAATGTAATTCAGTACAAATTTTTACAGGCATGTGTACAAACATCCCATAATTTCGTTCCATTTACTGTATTAGAAAGGTTCAGATTTTTCACTGTTGCTTCCACTACCATTAACCAATCATTCATTAAATATGATGTAAATGCGTATTAAGCTTTGAGAGGTACCGGTAGCAGTTGTAGAAGTCAAATCTGAATTTCTCTATTAACACAATTAGGAAAGTAGTTTAAATACCATTTCCACAGCCATACACTTCTAGACGCAGACAAGGGTCATCATTACTGTCTTGTATCTCAATTCGAATATGCCTTGCAATAACAGAAACATTCAACCAGTTTGCAAATATCGTATTTACACCACGTAGTGGAGAATTTCCAGGAAATATCTAAAAACAGAAATCGATGTAAAAAGTTAAATTAGCACAGAAAAAATAGTGTAGGTATAAATTTACATAACATGTATTTTAACGCTTGCATACGATTCCAATTTTGGCGTAATCGAATAAATACGCATAAAGACTAAAGAGGTCCTAAGGAAGTTGCATTCAAGTTTCACCGTAAACCAATAGAGAAATTGTGGCCTCAGCATTAATTTTCATTTGAATTAGACCAAATCGATGAACTGTTTTGAAATTGCGGATCTCGATATGAAAACTACTTACTTTTGTGGTATGCATAACAATCGATGTAGATAAAAAAACAAACGAGATTTAAAAATTAATAAAAAACTATCTACAGCAATGCGAAGATTTTAAAACCATCCATTAGTATGTCCTTAAAAGGTCAAACCTATATAGTTGATTACAGTATGTGCTGCAAATGATTATTGGTGTTGATTATGATGAAAATATCACTGATTATGATAAAAATGAGGTACAAAATGCAGAAAAAATCTTACCATAAGACTAGTGTTACTGGGAAAACCAGACCAAACTCGACCATCATAGCTATAACGTATTTTATACTTAGTGACTTTCCCAGGATCACAGCCTTGTGTTGCTACTCCAGAAATGCTCGCTAATTGTCTAAGGTCAACGCTTATCGTCTGGCTGGATTTTTCCTTAGCGCACCAGCATTTATCTTTATACCGTAATCTAGCAGACGTGTATGGATATTCGTCTAACTCTGATGATACTTTAATACTTTCGTACGGAATTTTTTCCAGTTGGATGCTGAGTCCCAATGGATGGGGTTTTCTACAGTATCCTGTGAAGAAATAAGGCGCCGTTTAATTTTGATAAAGTCAGTGTAGTTTTATAAGAAAGCTGCGGCTTGAAATACAAGGACGGCCCTACATCAGGAAGTTAGTTTACAGAACATTTCATATTACCGTTTTATGACTTGTTATATAGGTTGAATTTTTCATTAAATTCAAGCCTAATTAAACATAACATACCAACCACAAATGTTTCGGAAATTAACTTTTATTAGTATTTTTACAATTTTGTTCAAAAATTGGTCAAAAAGATCGTACGTGTTTCCATGATAGCCTGGCACTTCGAAGTACTTCATGAGTGGAAAATATATAGTTATTTGGTTAGCAAGGTGAAAGGTCTCTGGACGCATGTATTTCTAGTAAGTAAATATTTCTTTGCGTCATTTCCCTAAAAAAGATGAATGGATCAAAAGATCAAAGTGTTATTAAAAATGGCATTATGGTGTATCCAACAATCCAAGTTAGGACTTTTGGGGTATCTAATTTAGTGATGTAATATTATTTATACCCAGGCTTTCATAACCTAATTATTTTAGCTTGTAATTGTAACACGACCGGAAATTGCACCAAAAAATGGTCATGTAGCTGAGCATACGCGTTATATTCTTTATACGTCTCTAATACTGCCACTGTTTGATTATGCCGATACCATTTGGGGTGATAAGAACAATTCGGTGCTGATGGATTCCCTTCAAACTTTAGAGAACAAAGCTGCAAAGCTGATCTTAGATGAACATCCACGCTATTCTGCAACGGAAGCACTACGACGACTAAAATGGACAACACTTAAAACTAGAAGACATAACCATAGATGTATATTTATTTATAAATGTTTAAATGATTTAATTGACTTTAAATTTGAATTAACAAAGAACGAAGACATTCACAGCTATTACACGAGAAGAAAAAACGACCTCCACCTCCCAAAGACGAACACAAACAAGGGAAAACAAAGACCAAGCTACCAAGCATCAAAAGACTTTAACAACCTAGAACCAGACATTAGAAACGCTAACTCGTTATACAAGTTTAAAACTCTATTAAAAAACGCTGTGTAGGCGAGAATTACATAGTAAACATAGTCTTAGTTCCATTACGTTATGTATATGTATATATATATATATATATATGTATATGTATATGTATATGTATATGTATATGTATATGTATATATATATGTATATGTATATATATATATATATGTATATATATATATATATATATATATATATATATATATATATATATATATATATATATATATATATATATATATGTACTGAAGACTATATTCAAAAAAATAGTCGATGAGTTGACGTAAGGTAGAAGAGCGCTCAATACCATAATAAGTAGAGCGGAATTAATTCAGTCAAGGTTTGAATGTTTGCGTCGCTACTCTGAGTTTCACGCTTTACGCGATCATCAGGCAACTGACAGATATTATTCAATATTCATAATAAATATAGGTTATCATTTTACAACTTGATTAAGCAGGTATCTCGTTACATGTCTACATTTGGAAAACAAGTCAGAGCGTTTGTTCAGGCAAACTTTGCCGCTAACCTAACGTGCACACAAACTCAAAACAACACTAATAACTCCGATAAACGAAACAGACAACGAAACATTACATGGTACAACCCCCCTTATAGCAAGAACGTTAAGACCAATGTAGCACAGACATTCCTAAACCTAATTGACAAGCATTTTCCTCCCTCAAACAAACTGCACAAACTTTTCAACCGCCACACAGTCCGTGTTAGTTACAGTTGCATGAAAAACATGAAAAATCTCATCCGTAAACATAATCGTAAAATACTCAACCGAAACACAAAACGAACGCCAACTGCTAGGGTAATACAATCATCCATACCAACGGTAATACCAACACCTACAAAAAACGACGCGCCAATGTGCAACTGCCAAAACCCCGCCAACTGTCCACTTGGTAAAAAATGTCTTACTGAGAGCATCGTATACAAAGCCGAAGTAACAACCAGCACTGCCAACAACCAGGAACAGAAAATATACATTGGCATGACGGCGGGCGATTTCAAAACAAGATACCGCAATCACACTAAGTCTTTCCGACATGAGGAATACAAGAGCAACACCGAACTGTCCAAGTACGTCTGGAAACTAAAGTCAGAAAAAAGTCAGTATACAATAAAGTGGTCCATTATGAAGAAAGTCAAAGCATACAAACCAGGATCTAAACGGTGTAATTTATGCCTCGAGGAGAAACTACTTATTATGAAAGCGAAGAAAACTGAATGCCTGAACAATCGCTCTGACTTGTTTTCCAAATGTAGACATGTAACCAGATACGTACCTGCTTAATCAAGTTGTAAAATGATAACCTATATTTATTATGAATATTGAATAATATCTATCAGTTGCCTGATGATCGCGTAAAGCGTGAAACTCAAAGTAGCGACGCAAGCATTCAAACCTTGACTGAATTATATATATATATATATATATATATATATATATATATATATATATATATATATATATATATATATATATATATATATATATATATATATATATATATATATATATATATATATATATATATATATATATATATATATATAGTATAAGTATGTTAACGCATGTTATTGTAGATTTGCATGTTATTTTGTAATGTATATGTATATTGAAGTTGAAATTTATAATGCAGGACCCCACTGAAAAACACTTCGGTGACGTGGGTATCCTGGATAAATATAAATATAACAAGACGCCTACTCAGGCGTTCACTCCGTGTATAAGGCCTTAACTAACGGCGCAAAGCTACTTTAACGTACTATGCTGATATGCGGCAATGAAGGTATCTTTAATGCATGATATTCAGTAGCATATTAAAGTTGGAAAAGTGGGAGAACTACAGCGTGCCACTTGACCAGGTGACTAAAAACATGCAATGATCATAATATTTTTAACATAAAAATAAAAGGACATTGTGACACTGATTATCTCTAATAAAAGCTATCTACAATCAGTGACAAAAGGTTTTTAGACAGTGGTATAATATATACATATCTCCGCATTTCCAAATACTGTTCAGCATAAAGCCACTATCCCTCCCTCCCCCACCCTAAACAATGTTGGGTGGCTGGCAAGGAACATTTTGCGCAGGTATTTCCACACACAACATTGAACGGGGGGTGCGGGGGGTCGATTATGTTGTAAACGTACGCTGTTTAGCTATTTTGTCCAAAGTGTTTTGTCACTGATTGTAGTTCTTTATTAAAAGAGTTCTATTTAAAAGTGTTTTTTCGAGTCGTATATAATATGTCGGAGGCCGTATTTTACAAATATTTTATGTTTTTTTTATTGTCGAGGGTAGAAATTCGAGGGTGAAAAGCTTGAGGGTACATTTTAATAATTTAACAAAATAATAATTTAAGTTCGTGTACACTTACTTTACTTTTAATTTTTAGCTCTTATTTTTATATGCAATTATTAATTTTTTATATGCGATTACTTTTTATATGACAAAATATTACTACATAAAAATAGAAATGCCGATCAAAAGCTACAGTCGACATAGTTTCAAACGGCGTGGTGCATTATCTGCGTTATCTTGGATTGCATGTTATTGTATCAGTCTATTCACTATATGGTCTATTGAATCAGAGTAATCAGGACTTGTTTACACCTTGCCATTGCCATACGCCTTTTCCGGGTTCGCGACGCCATCTTCAAAGTATTGTTTTCGCCATTGTGCTTGCCGCACTTGCAAATTTATCTATAGGGAATGCCCGCATATTTCTATCCTCGACAATAAAAACCATAAAATATTTTAGAAATAAGACCCCGGACTTTTTATATATGACCCTCGACTTTTTTATATGACCCTCGACTTTTTATATATGATTTTTCGACCCTCGCTTCCCACCCTCGACCCTCGAGAAGAACTCCTGAAACTGAATTACTAAAAATAGCTAACGTAAACAAACCACATTTATCAAACACGCAAAGAAAATTATTTAAAAAGTAATATATTGTTAGTCGTGTCATATAGTTAATTGTCAACACTTTTTCAATGCACGGTAGTAAGTTCATAACTGGCACCATAACTCATAATTAACTAGTGTTATGTTGATATTTTGTTTATACAGATTGATTGTTTTAATTTGTAAGGCTTCGCTGTAAGTTTGTTATTATCAAACGTTTAGATTGTTTTAAGCATCTTAGTAATGATTTTACTTTAAGACCAAGACATTGCAGCCGTCGAGACCGATTTTTAATACTCTATAAATAAAACATTAAACTGTGTAATAGACGTACTAGTGTTGGGTAAAGCTATCTAGTTATATATATTTTATATGCGCTTTTGTCTAATTCAAGCGTGGTAGACAATATTGCCAATATTGTTGTGGTTTGCGATATAAATTGCCTCGCGAATCGAAGACTTTCAGATATGTCATATGTCGAATAGATCTGTGCGTTGTTTGTACTTCAGTTTTGGCCACAAGGCACAAAGGGAGACCGTTAAAGAACACGAGTGACGGGTGTTAACACAATTTAACTACGTACAGTGTTGACAAAATTAAAAAATACCGGGCTAACGTCAGCAACGAACCAAGCCAGTTGTCGATCAGAATTAGCTTTGCAATAACGGCAACCGCTACTAAACGCGCGAGAAAGTCTCGAATTTCGATTTGTATTTATATGAACTGTGGTCACTGTATAAAAACGAGTGTATGAGAACCCCTGCATTTGATAATATTTACTGTAAATAGAACTAAATACATTGTAAACACAACGCTCGCTCCGATCTACTACGAATGGCGGCTATTTTGAGATATTTCGTATTTTCGTAGTGCGTTGCGTGCGTTGCGTACGGTGCATCTGTGGAAGTGCACACTTGTGTCGCCTAAGAAAAAAGATCTGACATTTTAATACTCCGGTACTTAGGCCTATTAAAATAATATTTCTGTTTTTCATCATTTGTTTGGAATAGAATTGGGGCGGGCGGGCGGATTTTTTTGTTTGTTTTTATACCCAGTAATTGGCGGGCATGCTAGACAGATTTATGCCTATCCAGGGCTTCAAAACGTGCACACCAGATTTAATTTGCGTAACAATAAACGGCATGGTTGATTGAACACCGAAGTATTATGAAAATATGAAAATTGAAAAATGACAGCGCATCATGGCGCCCACTGCTCGTTATCCGATTATTTTCCGACGGCTCCCGACAAAAACCGAGAATAATATTTAAAAAAATATTTTTGGGCGGCCAAATTTTCAGGGGCGGGCGGCGACGAAAAACAGAAATATTTTTTTAATAGGCCTTACAGTACCCGGAGTAATAAGCGTACAGTAATTCGTACAGAACACGCTGCACCTACTTTGATATTTCATTCAAATTTATACCTACAGTACCTAACTCTCGTCGAAAAACCCAAAAATTTATACTAAACTTGAACTGGAAGTCCAAAATCGACGTCTATTCGCAACGGTTGATCTTGTTCAATGATATGATGTCCCTCCCGGTGAGCCTGCTTTTGTTCTTCATGTCAGTCCGTATGTTACGATTTATGGGATAGAAGTTTACTTTTTAATCAATCAAATGAATATCGCGGAAATTGTCTTTCAGAAAACCAACAATCAAAATTTTCTGCCAATCATGACCAAACCTTCCACAGTCTCATATATGTCTTCAGAGAAACATGGAATAAAATACTTTCAGCAATTTTGGAAAATGTTTAGAAACAAGTGTTAACAGACTTTTCTTTGTGTATAATTATTCTATATAGATGTAGATGAATGTGCCCGAGGATTGGACAACTGTCCTAGTTATATTTCGCATTGTATTAACACTGATGGGAGTTATGTATGCAGATGTAACCAGGGTTATTCCGGAAATGGCCGATCTTGCTCTGGTGAGTTGTACTTTTTGAATCTTAAGGCCTTACTATAACATAAAGCAATGATAGTCCACTAGTCATCTTTCTTTGTCTAAACCCAATAAGTTTATTCCTTCATAAAAATAATAATTTTTATATCTCCCTTCATCACTTTACACAAATGAACACCAAAGTGTTAATTAGGGGATAAGTTTATAAAATTTCGTTGTATTCCTCGTACAAAACCAAATGAATAAGATGCACCATTTTCTAGATATTATCCAAACACTCGTTTGAAGCCAGCATAATTCAGAAGTTTTTAGACACTCCCTAATTTATTTGCAAATGCTTAAACATCTACAGAATGACAATGAATTGCTAAATTATTTCTATACATATTTGATGAAATTGAGATCTTTAATTTTTAATGCACTTTATTTATTGAAGTTCTAGCTATCTGAGCCCATTTCCATACTTCGTCAACCAGCAAAACTAAATGGAATAGCTATAGTTGCATTATTGTTAATTCCTTCTAAGTAGATCGATGATTTGGACAAACTTGTGAAAAAACGGTTTCTATTATACTGAACTTACTTAAAAGATTATTCACGGTTTAACTTCAGATATCAACGAATGTTCTTTATCAATTGACAACTGTCATTCCAACGCTTCTTGCACCAACATTCGTGGATCATTTTTCTGCACGTGTGACAGTGGATATACCGGTAATGGAACTTTTTGCCAAGGTAAATAGAGAATTTTCTTTTTAAACATAAATTGGACACCAGGATGACTACAAAATAATTGAATATGATAAAGGTGTAACAATATTTATTTCAAGAAAAGCTAATGATGTTTATAAAATGTTGATCCGTTTATTTGTTATACATCTTTAGAAGTAAATGAATGTTCTCTATCTCCTGACGAATACCTGCACCCAAATTGAAACTGCGCCAATATTTGGCATATACAAACAAATATAAAAGCTCATTTCCTAACATAAATTCGACCGGAAAGACTGAATAGAAGAAGATTGACTAAATAACGCCGGATCAAAAATTAAATTCACTGGGAAAATTACCACCACGTTACGTTGTAATATGTTAGGGTAGCTACCTACCATTATAGTACAGTTTAAAAACATGTATAAATTACTAAAAAAAGACTACCCCACACCTTTCGTGTTTTTCACGGTTTCTAATTTACACGAATGGCAAATAGTAATAATACCGAATCGATGTTTTGTCACGTCAACAGTTTCAACTGGATTTCAGGTCTATTTTTGTCGCGTTTGCTTCGGTGAAATTTCGAAAACTTTGCATATTTGCTAAGGATGAAGATTAATAAAACATCAAAATTTCAAAAAAAGTCTACGAGTTAGACGATATTGTTGTTTGATTGTGAAATTAGACAATAAAGGAGCAAAAGATAAAACATCATGGTTGCCATGGAAACGATAAACACTGTTCTTATTTTTTGTATATCGACAGTGCAATTAGACTTCTGAACTTTTGCAGAAATTATCATATTGTTTTAAGTGTATTCAGTATCAATTTGGTTGAAAACAAAGATTACCCAAAATACTTAAAATTTTAAACAACTGCAGGAAGTCACCTTTAATAGCATTTATTTGTTATGATTCATTAGAAATAGATGAATGTTCGCTATCTCTTGACGACTGTCACCCAAATTCAAACTGCACCAATATTGATGGATCTTTTCTATGTACGTGTGATAGAAAATATACTGGAAACGTAACTCTTTGCCAAGGTAAACAGAAAACGCCATAATTATGGCACCCAAGTAAAACACAATTTTAGTTCCGCTTTTAAGGGAGTGGTCATTATTTATGGGGAGGGGGGGTTG